TTGTAACAAATGGTGGTGCAGTGGTTAGCAATGCTGACTTGCAGCCCTGGGCAGCTGAGTTCATTTCTGGGGTGGTATATGTTTGGAATTGAGTGTGAGTGTGTTTGTGTCCTGTGATGGACTGGTGTACTATCCAGGGTGTATCCTGCCTTGCAACCATTGGCTGCTGGGATAGGCTTGAGCTCCCCCGAGAATCTGTACTGGATCAAGCCATTAAAAAACGTGTGGATGGATGGAAAGTTTATAATGCCCAATTACAAACAGGACAGAGCACACTTTCCCAGAAGCTGTTGAAATACTTTTTGACAGACAAAGTACAGTACACTGTATTTAAGAAGTGGTTAATATGTTCACTGATGAAAATAATAATTTGTCTCTCCATCATTATGATTCCATTTGCATTCTTCTGTATTAATCGGAAACACAAGTTTCTATCGGGGACCTGTAGAATCTTTATTCAATACATTGGATTGGTCATCCTAAATCAAATGTTCCTAAAGATTGGAAGCACTTTGTTATTGCACATGTTTAAAGGATTGCTAAATTAAATCAGCATGAGCATCAATCAAGAATTTTATACTTCAATTCAAGCTTGGGATTAAACATTTTGCTAATGCAGACTATTATTTTTCAGGTGATTTTTTCAGTACAGCACTGTTACCAAACCTTGGTAGCACCTACAGTACACCTTAAGGTACTGCAGTGTTTGCATTATGCCCTGTCTTGGCAGTATTATAACGTCTATTGTCTAAATGTATTGTCCGTGTCCATTTGTCATTTGTGTCTATTTTTTTTCCCTTTCTCTACTGTTACTGGGTATAGCTGAACGAGTAAGCATTCCAATACACTTGTTGTATATGGCAAACAAAATCTTGAATCTTGATGGACTCTATGGACATACAGTATAGCACCAATACTAGGAGGTACTGCATAGTTTTTGGGGGCAGACTAAATGGAGTTTATAATGAAAGTTCGGGAGGAATGAAGGCTCATTTGACACAGCTGCTGCAATTCTCACTAATCCTGATGTAAGCAACTGGTCTCCATATATATCAAACGTCACCCTCTCCTCTTCCTCGTTCATTTTCTGCATCCCTCCTCCACCTTTGCAGCTACCCAATTGGTCGCATGGGGGTCCTATCCTCCCCGTCCAACGGCCGGGAGGTCGGCCCTCAGCCAAGCCGGTTACTCCAAATCTCCACATCCCAATAAACGATTCTAATTTCTCCCAAGCTTTCGAATGCTGTCATTCCTCATGAACTGCAGTCCTTTTTAACAGATAGTGTTATTCTGCATTTCTACCTTGACAGTCTTCAGGAGAGGAGGAAACTATTTATCACTTCCTTAAAAAAATATTTTTATTTTTGTAATTTTGTAAAAAAGTTAAGCTTTAGAAACAAGTTCGATGAGTTTAATTAGATGAAATTGTAACCTTGTGGCAAATTGCACTTTTCATCTTTTTAGGCTATGCTTAGAGAGGAGATGGTCACTTTGCTGCCTCATACTGTGCTACAGGCACCTCAGAAGCGTGTATCTGTACATACAGTATCTGCCCTCATTCATTCAGCCACCGCCCCCCCTTCCCCCTGCACTAATCCCCATGCTGTTGGTCCTGAAGCTGGACAGGTAGGAAAGTTAATCTCACTGCCATGACACTCCAGCTTGCATTACACATCCCTACTAATCAAACCAACAGCCAGCCACAGCATGGACAGTAAAGTAAGCAGAAATAGAGCCAGGTTTGTGTCAAATGAATTGCCTTATTCTTATGAAGAACATCCAGGAACCTGAGCTTCAGACTTCATCTCTGTTGATGGCTGTTGTTCTACTTTAGCTAATTAAAAATGAATTGGTCTATAAAGGAAGCCCATCCAGTGGTCTGAATAATCTCTAAGAATTGCATAAGAAAGTACAATCTACAAAGGGACATGTTCAACTTTAGGTTTATCCCATGCTGAAAAGAGAAGAAAGAAAACACAACGTTTAGGCCGTGGAGCCTGCTTCAGGTGAAGAAACCGATTACTTGTTCCTTTGCAGCCTACGCATGCTGACCCAGCTACCCACCTGAACTACAATTTACAAATGCGTATCAAATAATTTGAGATTGACTGTATATTCAACAGAAGGAAATTGGTCTCTTCAGCTAATTTGGGCACATAGACCAGATTGCAATACCTACTTCTAGATTTCATGCTTGAATTTGATAATATCATGAACTAATTTTATTCCAGAAAACTGCAGAAGAATAATGACTTTTTTTCAGTTTAACATTGTAGCACAATGTGCGAATACTTCAACAGCAATTATGTGTCTTTAAATATAGACCTTCAGTATGATAAACTGAATATTAAGTGTGAAAAATAAATTAAAAATAGAAGCAAATTGCAAAGGTAAAAGGACTTGAAAGTACTTCTGACATTTAAAATAGTTAACTAATACATATACATTTTATTCTGTAGCAGGGCTTATTTCTATGTGTGTGCCTGTTACAGTGATGTAGGTTACCACAATGGGTGGCTGGCCCTTTGCTGTAGTGGGTTCAATTCCTACTGCCTTGATTAGCCTCTGTGTGTTTCTTATTGCTGGAAGTGTGCTTGAGTGACAATGACTTCTTCAGAGTAATCATTATTGTCATTTTAAGTGAAAGTTTACATTTAAAGTGTGTTTTAAGGCTGCTTCTGTTATCTAACACTGTATTCCCATATACAGTACTGTGCATTATTGTAACCTACTGTAATAGCATCAGCAAGGAAGAGACAGACAACTGCAAAGATGCCTGTGAAATCAAGCTTAACATGTTCAGGCATTCTCAGAAATAAGACATTACACAGAAAGAAATTCAACATACTGTAGTAAGGTGTATATTACTCCTTAGGCAACAAAGTACTACTTACAATTTAATAATATATTCAATTAAAAGTGAGAACAGGACACATTGTTTTGCACAGAGGCTTGTGGTAATCTGGAAGCAGCTACCCATTCATCCAAGGTTGACAGTCTGGCCTCTCTGAAGAAAAGGTAGAATGAACTCCTTTATATCCATGAGCTGTTACTAATCAGATGGGGCAAACGGGCCAGACAGACTCCTTTTCTTTGTAATTGTACAATAACCCAGAACTGATGGTGGAAATAAATAAGTGTAAACTGTACATATACAGCAATACAATCTATTACCACTTATGTAACAAAAATAAATACATACTTTCCTACTTTTGCAGTCAGACATATATTTGCTTTCTTCACACTAGATAGCTGTATGCATTATTCTCTAAACTGTTACAGTACATTTACAGTATGTTTCAAATGACTGAAGAAACTGATACTTTCAAAAATATTAATATGATACTGATTTAAATGGAAACTGCATTTAATTAAAATTGCCTTTTGCTGATAAGAAGAAACAGCAAATATTGAGTCTGTTACACACTTAATGTAGAATTTGAATACACACAATTTACCATTTACTAATGAACCAGAAAAGTGAACACTTCTAGTAAATAAATTAATTCAGTACAGTCTGCTGTTATGGAGAAATAACTCATCTCTTTGAGTGTGCTGCTTTAGATAGGCTATCAATAATTTGCAGAATCTAAACATTCATCTAAATATGCTCTTTCATGTATGGATTGCAATAAAATGCAATTTGCCATTAAGGCAAGCCTCTGATTAAGGTGTCTGAAACAAACTTCAATGAAATACTTCGGTAATGATCTGCAAGCACTAAGGCAAGTTGCTACCTGCATTTTCTTTTTTTCCAGACACAACTTAAGGGTTCACAACAGTCACTGTTAGAAGCTCTGTTTTTCTCTCTGATATGTAGAGTATCAGCAACAAAGTATCTGTCTTCTGTCAGTATGAAACAGAATGTTTTATTTCCATCTCCAGGCAGATACATTTTTAAGCTGTTGGACTTTTTAGTGATAGGAGTTTACATCACTTCTCATCTTATGATTATGCTCTAGTGCATCCTTAACATACTGTATTTGATTACAGCAACTGAACTAGAATGTTGTCAATTATTATTAAATAATCTTAATAATAATATAATAATAACTAATATATACTTTCTTGGTTGAAAAACTATAGGAAACATTTTGTTCTTAATGCATTGAAATAGTACCGATTCATTTGACAGTATATGTAAAAATATCTCCAACTGACAAAAGCAGGGTTGTGAAAATTCTATGAGTGTGTGAGGTCTGATTCTTAGATTTCATAGACAGACAGTATCATGTCTTATCAACTGTGAATGTTAATGCGATGCAAAAAAAGTCAGCGATTTCAAAAGGGGGAAATTCTAACGAAATAATAGACATCATTAGAAAAGAAGAATAATTACTGCATGAGAAATAAATCTGTATCAATTAGAAAACAATACAGGAACTAGAAATTTAACAGAACATTTTCCCAAGGTAAGCCAGTAGTTGTCTTGTCTACAGGCAGCACAGCTAGAAACTTGCATTGCTTTTTTAGCAATGAGAAAGAGATAAACAGGATTCTTTGAGGGGGTATATTCCTAGACTCTGAAGAAGAAGTGTTCTACAGCAGAGTAAGCATTCTATACCTATCATCAGTTGTTTAAGGACGGGTGCATTCCACTCATATGCGCCTTTGGCTGGGTGCTTCTGTTGAAATGGCTAAACCCAGGTGCAAAGCTAATATCCTGTCCCTAATGACACATTGACTGAGAAGTGCTGAGATAATATAAACTCAAGATTGTACATATCAAAACATTAACAAAACAGGTTGAAACTGAAATTAAACAAATGTGAAAGTTCGTATTTCAAATTCAGACTTTCCTTTATTACTTTTGAGTATTTTTTTGTCTTAATTGTACAGATTATATTCCTTCATCTGTGTTGGATATACAAAAATATATTATGCATGGAGGTAACTTTTCATTCTTTGGTTTTTCATTATACATTCAGGGAATTTTAACAGTTCTGGCACTTAGTTCAGGCATGACGATCTGCATCCTATTGATTTCAGCAGGAGCTTACCGGGTGACAGGAGAGCAGGGGGATTCTTACATGGACGGTCCTAGATAGATTTCAGTGAAGGTGTCTTCCAGATTAGGGGCTGTCTCTTCTGTAACAACATTCAGCAGAAGGGAAAGAGATAAATTAACTCGACTAGAGTTAACTAAATGCACATAAATCGGATGGTAACTTGTTTGCATTTGAGTCTCTAAGAATTCCCAGGAAATTGTTTTATTTGCAGCATTTTGCCTACAGAAATTTTACAGTCTTTAAATTAAACATATGCAAACAATAAGAGCAGTACAAATAGCCAAATAATATAAAATATTTATGACTTTATATTTATGTCAAGATTTTCTACCTTCAGGAACAGTAATAGAGTGCTTTAACTGCCAACCATACAACCACAACTGGCAAACGTTCCCAGTGTCTAAAGATTTGTGCTGTGTCACTGAAAGCCTCACAGTCAAAAAACTGTTTCAGTGACACAGAGCAGCCAGTATACACCTTTTCACCAATTCTGACGGTGGATGTTGATATACTGTGTTAGCAGGGAAGGTGTGACTGTAATCAATCACACCACTAAGAAACCTGTCCACCCATTTTCATGACTGTTGAGAAAGCGTTGTGTTGCTCTATTGTGGCACCTGGTCAGTCAAGACATCCTCTGCAAATACATTTTTTATTGAACGCGAAAATTTTCACAGAGAGCCTTAAGACCCTTGACCCCATTCCCTGAAGCCACTTTGTTTGTAATTCCATCCATTCATTCATTCATTTTCTCTTGGCTTCTTCCAATTCAGGGACATGGGGGCAAGTAACTGACTTAATGGACAAGTAACAAACACAGACTGCCCATAATTCAGTGCTTCATTTACCTGGCTAATGATAAATGTCCAAAGAAACTCTATGCAGGGAAGGCAGTGAGCAGCCACTATCATTAACAGAATAACAATCTAATTTATTGTTCACACACCCTGGAGATTTGCCTCTGGCCTCACTGATATAAAACAATAAAAACAGTGTAAAGCAGAGTCTGAAGCAACAGAATCAGTACTCTACAAAAGACTAACCTTCCTGTCACCTATCACTTTTTCTATGAATTCACATGAACTGGTGTAAAAAATTGATCTTCTTGAATAAATTAAGCTCACTAGGAATTACACCCAAGAATTAAGTGTACCGAAAGGATTATGAAGTGTTTGATGAAAACGTGGCCTAGCCCTCTTGGCAGACGGCTGACTTCTTGGCCATAGGATGAGGAGGCTGGGACCGCCATGGGGAGTGAGGAGTGACCCAGGGTGCGAAGGTGGACAGACGTGTGCGAGGGAGAAGAGGATCACCTACAGTATTTATAGTGTTTAGGGAGAGGAAATGGGTGGATAGGGTGGATATGGGCGGAGCGGTGGCTCTGTGGCTAAGGATCTGTGCCTGTGACTGGAAGGTTGCTGGTTCAAATCCCGTGGCCGGCAGAGGAATCCTACTCCGTTGTGCCCCTGAGCAAGGCCCTTCACCCCAACTGCTCCAGGGGTGCCGTGTAAATGGCTGACCCTGTGCTCTGACCCCCCAGCTTCTCTCCCTGTCTGTGTGTCTGAGTCTCCTTGGAGAAAAAGCTGGGGTATGTGAAAAGATGAATTCCTAATGCAAGAAATTGTATAGGGCTAATAAAGAAACATTATAAATGCCATCAGGTGTGATTGCAAATTCCCGAAAGCTGAGTCTGATTGAACCTGGTAGTTGTCACGCCTCCTGACCTTTTGTTATTAACTCTATTTGTGGCAATTGAAAGGAAAACAGGTTACAGTGCCGATATTTAGGCTTTTAGCTTTTGGTCATGAGTGAAAGAAAAACAAGGACACTCTCCCAGTGTCATGTAATACTTCTGTAATTTGAACTGTTCTTTTTGGTGTTTATATGTGTTTTGTATCACTTACTGCAAATGATTTATGTCACTTTGAACAAAGGCATAGGCCAGGTGATCTCTATCAAAATCATCCTCCATTAAAGACCATAAAGACCATTACATTCTCATGGAGGGCAAGCAAGCAACGAACAGTAGCTGCAAAACTACTTCACACATGAAAGTTTGAAAATTCCACTGTCAACTGTATGCCACATGCCATGGATTTCTGGAATCTTAAAAGACAAAACAATTTGCATTTCTTTCATCAGACATGTGGAACATGACCCCTTTCTGGTCAAAAATGGCAAATATTCACATCTGCCAGAAATCCTTGCATATCATATTTACAAGCACAGCACGCAAGCTTGCCAGAGACCCATTACCTAGAATACATTACAGTACGATACTGTAATGTTTATGTAAACCGCATACATATAACATATATACTCAGCATCTAATACCTTTCATTTTCAATCTCTAAATTCCATTTTTAGTCATACAAAAGAACTAATGTCAGAATGTAAGTGCAAAGTGCTCCTACAACTTTCTTTTTCTTAGAACAACCAAATAAAGACTGCTACCACAGTTTACCTAAACCAACAAAGAATTTGATTTTTCACAAATTTTCCTTTCTCATCTGAGGTGTTTGTTGTTTGGAAGACAGAACAAGAGGAAAATGTGTAAAAACCTCTTGACTCAGCATGGAAATCTTCTGTTTTGCCCTTTGCGTAGAACAGGTCCCCTGTGTTTCTTTGTGCCACAAGTCAACATCCATTACAAATCTGGCCGGGAAATGGTTGTACAAACCTTTTGCTGTCAAGCTGTTGCCTAAAATATTGTTGTTGTTTTCATTCAGCTGGTCTCCCAGAGACTCAACGGATGTTTTGCTGGACTGCGTTGTGTCAGGATCATTTGTGTCCAGTTTGAGTTCTATATCGTCCAACATGGTGAGGGGAATTTGGGAGCCAAAACTGCCTTCTTTACCCTCCTTTTCTGGTTTCTCTGCTTCTGCAATAAAAGCAAAAAGGGTAGGATTTCTTGAGTGTCAGTATAGCAAGGAAAAAGAAGATAAGGAAGAGAAAAGAAAAATGCAGGAAGGAAATGTCACAAGTGCCTCTCCATTAATACTTGAAATTCAGCACATTGTTCAAAAGTAAGAGTATATATACAAGCTCAAGGTTTAATATTGATTATACAGTGTCTTGCAGTAGTATTCAGACTTCTGCACAATTTTCACATTTTGTTGCTTTAAAACGTGCAGTCATGCCCTTTGAAGTATTAATGTGTTACTGTATATACACAACCTAATCTACACATTAAAAGAAATAGACGTAAATACTGCAGAGTATTATGTGAAAGAAATGGAAGTCATGATTTTTTAATAAAGTATTCAAACCCTTTTCTGGTGGCCGACCTAAATTAAGAGAACACAATTACTTTAAATTACAGTACCACACAATTAGCTGAGTAGCCTCTGTCTGTGTGCAATAGTAGTGGTCCACTTGATTTTACAATAAATGCACCTCTCTTTGTAAGGCCCCTCAGTCAGGTAGTCAATTGTAGGCAAAGATTCAACCATAAAGCTCTCAAACCAACTAAAGTTGCAGAAAAGCACAGAATCAGGGGAAAGGTATAGTATAAAAAACACTGAATATCCCTTTGAGGACTGTAAAGTCACTCATTAAAAAATGTCATGTGTATCCTATCACAAAGCTGACCTACATGATAAAAATAATCTCAGATCCTTCATGGGTTTTGCAACAAAGCATTTAAGTGGCTGCAAACACGTGACAAAAGGTTTGTGGTCACACAAGATAAAACTAGACTTTTTTTGGCACACATGCAAAGTGTTAAATCTGATGCAAATCCAACATAGTGCATCACCCTGTCAACACCATCTCCATTATCACGCATGGTGGCTGTGACCATAAGTTCTAGTTCTGCTTCTCATCAGCAGAGTCAGGGAAGCTTGTCAAGACTGATGGGAACCCAGATGAAGCAAAGCACTGTCAAATCTTACAGCTGCCAGCTGCGGCCTGCTTCAGACCTAAAGATGGGACAAAAATCCACCTTTCAGCAGGACAATGATGCAAAGCACCAGACCACTGCTACATGGGAGTGGCTTTAGAATAAGAAAGTGGAAGTCCTTGAGTGGACAAATAGAAGGTACTTTCATCCAATATTTAATTCATGGATCTAAATACTTTTGCAACCAACATTTCTTTCATTCTCATTACTGTTTGCCAAAACTGACTGTAACATATCCTTCCCTTAGAAGGTCTTAGTTTTAATTGGAATAAAATCCTACATCTAAACAATGTGCCTGATGTACATCATTTTGTAATTTCACAAATAGGATAGGTTTCAATCATTTTGTGATGATACATCCCCTTACATCCCCTTTGCTGATATCTACGCTATCTTTGCATTTTTCTTGCTATTCAGATGCCTGGTCTATTAAGGATGACAAAACAGCTGAAAATCCAGGTTGATGCCAAAGATGATTAGTGACCTGTGGTGGACTTGCAAACCACACAGCAGCTGTTACTTGTGGGAAAGGTGAACACCCCACTATTAGCAAGACAGGAACCAGTAAGGAAAAGAAGGATGATAGTTTCCCGGCACTGAGGATATAACTCTACAGTGAGTCAGAGGCACTGGAGTGTGGCTGCAGGCTACTACTAATCTGCCCCTGCACCACAATGCCCATCCCTATTCTCTAACCTCTCATTGGAGACATTTCTTTCTCCTCGATTTCTAAGTCCTCACATCTGTAATTAGTGTTAATGAGATGATCAGTCTTGCTCTTGACTAGGTAATTGTAAAATTGCCATTACTGTTATTAAACAACAGGCTGGAGTTAAGGCAGTTTTTACAGGTAAGCCCACAGCACTGCTGTTGCAAACAGATGAAAAGTGAGAGAAAGAAAGACTCACTAAAAAGAGAATGTCCCCTCAGATGTGACCTCTGGATTGGGAAGCACACAATGCGGGTGAAAGGCATGGTGAAAGTTTCAGCTCTAAATGTGAATATTGTTCTAAGTGTGAATATAATATGCACTAGATCAAGTGAATGCTTGATAAGCAGAATTTGCATGTTGGTTTATAAAAAAAATTAAAGATTTAAATGTATTTACTGCAAATTACTTCGTAATTTGTGTTTCAATTAAATAAATACATTCAAATAAATTGAAGGATGGGGATATCTACATTTCAATAACTGTTTCTAAGAACAAATAGTAGGAAAGACTGAATGCCAGAATAATATTTTTTTAAAGATGTCATTAATATGTTTAATCAAACATTGTATTACCCAAGGCTTTAGATTTATGAAAAAAAATGTAAATTGTTTTTGTAATTTTTTTCTACTTTTATTAACAAATTTTACAATACTTTTGATATAAAACACCTAAATATTCTTTCCAAATGTGAATTAAATAAAAACCCTGATGAATGCAAAGGGATGATGACAATATTGCTGTTTGTAGAGTTCGATGGATTCTGTATCTAAACATATAAGTATATGCATTTCTTCAGACAGGCCGTTAGAAAAATACCAGGCTCTGGACTAATAGTCTAGAGTCCTGCTACACTGTGGGACCTATTGTCTGGCTAAAGGACAGCACAGCACAGAGAAAACAAGCAGGTCAGCAGATGAACAAAAGGACCCAGTAAGAAAGACACTGAGGGCTCGGTGATGAGTTGGAACACAGCCCTCCAGACCACAGGCTCCGCACAGAACACAGCACGGAGCCGGCCGGCGCATGGGTCAGCAGGACCACCTGGAGGTCTCCGTCTCAAGGTATGACATTTAATCTGGGGACGCGACCCTTTCTTCCCAGGGCAAGTGCACAGCGACCTCTCCTCTGATCTACCTATTCAGACCCTCCTCCTTAAAAATCACACATTCCAAACTGTCATGAAGGGATCAGCGGGACACAGTAAAACTGCACACGGTATCGGCATTAGCCACAGGCCCAGCACTCGTAAAACAGCAGTTTGCCCAGGGGAGAGAAATATGGGACATAATTTTCCCATTTTATTCACCACTGTTGGGTGAATAAAACAGGCAAATTACACGCAGATTTTAAACTTCATATTTAGCATGTTTATACACAGAGCTAATCCATGATTTTGCATGAACAGCGCAAAGTGAAGCTAACAAATAAGGCAATTCAATAATGACATTTGCTTCAACAGGAATGCAGTTTTATAGCATACAGCACAGCATGGAGTAAAGTGCTGTTCAGAGTTCTGAAAATAATGGACTAATAAATAACACTTTGCATTAATGTAGTACTTCTCATCCCAAAGGATGTCAGGGCACTAAATATAGGAGAGGAACCTTATATATATTCATCCATCATTGAAGTGCAGCACCCACGAGATCAGAGGAAGTGAAGGAATTACTTCACTGACTGAATCAAGAGAGTACTTTAGGGTGGCCGGATTGTACAAGTTCACAATTTAGATATAGGTGTCAACACCCCCACCCTTGTAAAAAGGGCAGTAATCCTGTAGTCAGTACCACAATATCACATTTAATCTGAAGAATAGCACTTGCAACAGAGCATCCATTGTCACCATACTGGGGCACTGGTTTGAAAACTGTGGTCAAGAGGAAATAGTGCCACCTACTGGTTACCAGCACCATTGGCAGCTGCAGTATAGTTTTCTTTGGATGTTCCCAGTACCAACCATGCCCAGCCTTGCTTAGCGTCGGAGAAATCATGACATTAGGCTGCAAGGTGGTGACACTGTTACACAAATTAAACAAACTTCAACAACCGCTATTACTTCATATGAGAAGCAATACTACACCTCTAAGTACAATAGCAAATCAGATTAAAATTTGCCTTCTGATAGTAATAAGTCTATATGTGATATAAAGTAAACAGTACTTTTTTCCCCATTGAAAACTTGTATGGTTAAAAATCCCAAATATTTAACTAATTCAAAAAGAACAATTTTACCTTACGATCTTTTCATGCACAATGGGAAAAAATGCCTTAAGAAGAGATGTACACACTGAATTTTGTACACTTTAAAGCTAGCTGATGTTTTTGTAGATCAAACATCCTTTGACATTAGAAGTATGAGAAAAAATAAAATTGAGTAATACTGAATTATTTATTTGAATAGCGAGTACTAACCTACACAACAGTTTCAAGAATAATGTTATAAGGATGATGTACAGTATGTTACCAGTCAATCTTATCTTAAGCACAGTAAGATAAAACATGAACCTCATACTGTATTTTGCTTGCATGCAAAGCCATGTACTTTCCAGATCAGGACTTCCTTTAATGACGATATAGCAGTAAGTAGGTGGAGTGGGTGGGTATGAAAGAAACATGCAATAATAGGCAAAGTTTTGTCTGAAAGATTTTAAAATCTTGTCAATTAAAAAGTATTGAGTGTTTCACAACTGACCAAAGCAACATCCAAAACAAAGAAATAAAATACCAGAATTGTATTTTCAAAGATATCAACACAATTTCAATGGCAATAAAAATATTATTGGGAATGGTAATATTTTAATTTATAACCAATAAATGTAACCACCTTCAGGGTGCATTTAAAATATATGCATCAAATAAGAAATCTGAGGGTAAATTGTATTCAAGCCATAAAATACATCTCTTCAACTTTTTAGTTACATCTTTATTCCACTTAACGAAAGTTAGGGTGAAGTTTAAGAAAGTTAAGGATTAGCTGTATTATTTTAATAATTTTCTGTTTTTGACTTTTATCCAAATAAAAAAGTGTATGAATTTATATTGTGGTCATCACCCTGCAGTGGACCCACTATCTGGACCCACTATTGGAAGTGGAAAAAATTCCCAACTCTGTCAGAAATGAAGACACATGACCCATTGCAACTGGCCAGTTCGAAATACAACTGGCCATAACAAACAAGTTCTTACATGCCTGATTTGCTTTCAGTGCTCTAGGTAGGTTTTAAAAACATTCTATGCTTTTTGAATCTGCATAGCTCTGAACTGCCAACTAACGGGGAACTTTTTGTGGAGACATTAAATCACAATAACAAAATGTTGAATCTGTAGACTACACTGAACAGAGGAATGTTTCCAGATTATTTTTTCCCGTTGCCCACAAGATATTTTTACGTCTCCTCTTTTTAAGAAATTAGCTCTGAGGAATTCAAAGTGTTCCAAAGAATACAATTCCAAAAATGTCTCCTTCAGAGAATCAAAGGATTTAAATGTACTACACTTGATGCATTTCTCAAAAAAGAGAAAAGCTGTCACGTCTAGTTTCCCAAAACATTAGTAGATTTAGTCACCACCACCCCAAAAAGGAACCGAAAGGAGCTAAAAATGGTCATTACATGATTCATAAGACTAAAATGCCAGGTTTAGTGTTACTCTCTTAATGACCACAAATACATATATTCAGTAAAATAAGCTGTTTTTAATAAACCGGTATTTATTTGCCATAATGGTTTGTATTTTCAGGCAAAAGGAAACAATAATGGGAGCGATTTTTGTCATAATAAATTTGCTACACTACAAATTTCATCCTACATGCTTGACGAAAACTACGAGTAATGTTGTTCAATGAAAAGACTATAGCAAGTATGAATCATAATTATTTCGTCTGAACACTTTTCTAAATATTCCACTCATCACATTTTACAGTCATATTTTCCAGTGAAACTGATAAATGTTTACACTTTAATCCAATTTACCGCTGTATATTACATATAAAAAGAACATTAACCCAACCTACCTCTCTTCATTGAGACTCAGCACTATATGATTAATAGCACTATTATGTAAAATCTTTTTGTTCATCAAGTGTTAATGATATTTCCTGCTCTCTTGTGCTAACATTAATCAAAAGCTAAATAAAATATCTTAAAATGTATAAGAATGGGGTTTCCTCTTAAATTCGCAGTATACTGTTGGTATTAAGCCGTTTTTTGTCAAGAGGAGTGAGGTCATGGTTTGAGACACTAACACGAAGGTTTGGCAATGCTCCCTGGAAAACCACAAATTGAAAAAAAACCCAGAAACTAAGAATAGAAAAAAGACATTAATGTCGAGGGAATGACAAAGCAACCATAGAACCAGTTGCAAAGAATTAGACCTTGGTTCTAATTTCTTCTTAGAAATATTTGTTTGGTGCATACGGACTTCTCTATGGGGGTTTGATGTTTAATTTTGAGGTAAACCACATTCACAATTTGTTCTTCCATATTGGTCAAGTCAGTGCACAGTACCATCACGTGGTCATGTTTTGCTTTGGAGTATTGTGATATGTAGTGAAGTGCAGCAGCACTCTGTGATGTAATTGTATCACGTGACTTGTAGAATGAAAGCGGGAAAGATCTGGAAGAGTCGGGTTAACATATGCCTGTGCCTTGATAAGGCTGTCTATTTAAACTAGACGACAAGGAATAAGGAGACAGATCAGAGAGGCTACTAAGAGGCCAATGAAAGGTTTGAAAGAGCTACAGGCTTTTATGGCTGGTCAATGTCACGATTGTAATCCCTCCCCCTTAAGGGCGCTCCAGCTCTTACACATTTTAGTTGATTTTGTGTACCTTCCTCCTATCCAGCCCACCTTAAAAGCCAGACGCTCACTCTATTCCAGGCTCTGCATTGGAATACGGACGCCCGGAGGCCCGCCTACCACCATGTCGCCTTACGTCTTCCAACCGGTGTCCTTACTGAGCTGAGTCCGGGACTTGGAGCTCCTGGTCCTGTTACCCCTTTTTATCTCCCTGACCCTTCACCGGATTTCTCTCTGGTTTTTAACTTTTGTCATGTTGTCATTTGAATTTCCTGTTTTTTTGGAATATTGGACTTCGCATCGGTTTTCCCCCTGGACTCCCTCTGACTCGATTGCCTGGACCACACCCCGCCCAAGCACCAGTGCACCGTCGTCATGCCCCCCTGTTCGTCAACCTGCTCATTTCCTCGTCTTCTCCTCCCCGTGTCTGTTTCTTCCGGATTCTACTGTCTGCATAGGGTCCTAAAAATGCTTCGTTGACAGTCAAAGTGTGCTTGTGATAATGATATCCCCAATAAAACCAAAGCATTAAAGTGATACTGCAAACACGTGTCAAAATGTTTTGTGATCTGACATAACTGAAAAGGAACTTATTGTCCTACATGCAAGGTATTACATTTTGCACAAACCCAACACAGCTCATCACCCAGAGAACAGTATCCCTACTGCTAAGAATGGTAGCATCATATTACTAGGATGAAGTAGTTCAAGTAGGTACTGTAGCTGTGTCAGCATGCATAGGCTGCAAAGGAACAGGTAACAGGTTTGTTCCATGCTGAAAAGAAAAAGAAAACAACGTTTTGTCAGCCAAAACGTTGCTTTTCCTTTCTTTTCTTTTCAACATGGAATAAACCCGTTACCTGTTCCTTTGCATATTACTTGGATGCTTCCCATTGACAGGGACTTAGGCACTTGTCAGGATAGAAGGGAAAATTAATGGAGCAAAGTACAGAAAAGTCCATGAGGAAAACCTGCTTCCTTCAAGAAAGCTGAAACTGGGGCAGAAGTTCACTTTTCAGCATGACAACATCTCAAAGCACACAGCCAATGCAACAGTGGAGTTGCTCAGAAACAGAACGGTAAATGTCTTCACGCAGCCCAGTTAGAGCCCTTACCTCAATCCCATTACAAATCTGGACCTAAAAGTTGCTGTCCATCAACAGTAACCTCACAATCTGACTGAGCTTGAACTGTTCAGTAAAGAGGAATGAGCAAACATTGCAAATTGAAGGTGTGCTATGTCCGTACAGACTTGTCCAAACAGAATTAGGGCTGTAATTCAGGCAAAAGGTGCTTCCAACAAATAGTGATTCAGGGCTGTGTACACTAAGCCACCCCGTATTCTAGGTCTTTATTTGTAATTACTTTTCAGAATGTTTGAACATTCGTTTTTAACTTGGATGTAGTGCATTACAGTGTGTACAAAAGGTAAAATAAATTCTGATTTAACCATATGTGGTGATTTCAGGCTGTTAGGCCACAAAATGTGTTATTTTAGAAAAGATGTGTAGACTTTCTATAGGCACTGTATATACATTATATTTACTGCAACGCTTTTCAAAGATTTGCACCACTGAAAGAATATACCTAGATATTCGACAAACAATATTTTCATTAGTTATTACTGTTACTATAACCTTCTATTACCAGAAAGCTTCATAGAACTTGCTAAGGTTGAGGCAACCTGGTGGCTTTCCTGGAATCAAAGTGCACAAGGCCAAATTACACCATGGACCGGACTCCAGTCTTTTACACAGAAGGACACAGGAGCAATTTAGAGATACACCAATTAGCCTAGCCAGCACATTTAATTTATCCCCAAAACACATTGCTTATTATCACTATCAGAATACACTAAGAATATCACTAAGAGACAACAATTTCTGCAATTCATGATCAACAACAAGAAAACAATCTTCTTTATTGAGTAATTAAAGACTATAGTAAATTGCAGTTTTATTAATCTGCTCCACCACATGACATACCTTTGGTGTCTGTCTCACTGCCTGGCTTTTCTTGACCAGTCTCTGATGAAGGGTCCTTGGGTGAACCGAGGGTTTCGTTGTTGTCATGGCGTGTATTCACATTTCCTGAGGTATCTGGAAAATTGAAAGCGTGTGATGTTCATGACAGTTTGCTTTTTTAATTTAATCAGATAGGTCAATTGAAAACAAACTCTCATTTACAGTAACAACTTGGAGAGTATATTTCCATACAGCAGGAAATTATACTGGAACAATCTGAGGGAGGTGTTTTGCTGAAGGGTAGAACAGCAGCATTAGACCAGTCCCCTGGTCAGAAATTCAGAGTCATTTCTATTACACCATATTTCTGGTGTAGGAATAGTGAATTGAAGGACAATTAAAATACCATAAAATAATTGAAGCTTAGCCATTTTGACTACAAAACCACCACCAAGCAATTCCCCCAAGCAAATGTAGTTAAGTGTGGAAATCTCTTAAATGAAAATATGAAATATTTTTCAGAATTAGCATTAGTTCAATATTAAACTGAACATGCAACATATCCCAAACAAAGCAAATTCAGTTGATGGATTCATCATTTATCTCTCTTGAGGATTTGAAATTCAGCAGACAGAAGCATCATTTTCAAACAGATGTATAGATCTTTTGGAGTGAATTGATCTGAATAAAATTCAAACTTCCTGCATTTAACAGCTTCGTTGTAAAAACAAAAAGAAAAGGAAATGAAGAAATTACCTTTTGCTGAAAATGATTCACATGCACCGTCTTTGTCCACAGAGCTCAAAGGAATCCCTGCATCTTCAGGACTTTTGTTGTATAAATCAAACGAGTACCTCTGAAATTTCAAATCCCAAAAGATGATAAGTGGCTACACATTAGAAAATGCCACAGTTACAGTACATACACACTTAAACAGGTCTTAGATGCCAAGTGATAAAGGTCAAACGTCCTCATAAAAATTAATTCCTTCATTCTTGCTGCCAGGTAGTAACTTTTTTGTGCTTATAAAATGTTGACTTCATTGAAAGTGCCCACACAGTGTGAACACTTCATCTCTTAATGACAGTCCTTATAAATACATTTAATTAATACATTGAGATTGCTTAAAGCTATCCCAGACTACTCCAATAGCAGAACCTGGTACAACATAACAGATATACAGCTCATTAAGAAAACTAGCTTTCTCTGTAATTGTACTCACCCTTGTCTTTAGACGTATAATATAAATTATCACCATAATAAGGACAATGGCAATAATTAGGGCAATTAAAATGATTATTCCTGCAAAGAGAAAGACATAATAACATTTATGAAGCCGCATTCTTCATAAAAATACAATAGCAAACGACAATCAAGAAAATAAATATTGAGTATTAGATTATAAGAACAGGACATGGTGTATATGCTGCATTTCTGGTCACAGTGTGAAACTAAAACACAAAATGTCAAACAAATATAAAAAACAAAACCAAACCAGGAATCATACTTGGTAAGAAACCAAAACCATTAGGTCCACACCAAAACAAGAGCCTATTCAGATATTACTACATCTGCTTTATGAAGAATTAATGTTTTCATTACTGTATAGGATTATTTGGTCAGTGAATAGATTTAGTGAAGAACTTACAGGTAGTTTTACAGTTTCACACACTTTGACAATATTGCATCTTTCATGAAAAAGTCTTATTAAATACAACTGGTGGGAAAAAAAGGAACAGCCCGCTCAGGTGAAGCCGCACGGCGGGACAGGCGAAAACGCGTGGCGTGGTGCTGCTCATCCCTTTGGAAGGGTGTTCAATGTGCTTGTACAGCTGTTCTTCATTAGTCTAAGACAGTCCAGCTGTGACTCATTAGGTAATGAGTCGCCCTTCATCCAGGGCTTCGCCTCCACAATGAACACGCCCCTTCCATACTCCATATGAGACACTCTGGGCAGGTGTGGGGATGCTAAGAGCTAAGTGCAGCACAGTTGAGCTTTTGTCCTTGTGGTTGAGAGGGTCGCATCAATGAGACTATGAGTTGCAGTGAGGAAAAATATGACTTTGTGCTTATGTGCCAAACAACTCTTTAGAGTATTCTGCCTTATTAGAGACAGGGGGTGCAGTGCCCCATAGGGTGCCCCCTACTGATTCTGTAATCCTTCCGGGAGATTTCAGTGCCCACATGGGGAATGATGAAGAACGTTTTGCCACATCTCCTGTCATGTTTTTTTGGCATGGAGAAAGGTTGTACTCTGGGGTGGTTGTGGGAAGGTGGGAACATTCAGTCCCTGTATTTGACTTTGTCTTAAGTCAAGCCAGTTCAAGGGGGTGTTGGACTCCACCAAGGGTGCTTCTTATCTCCTCTCCTGTTCATTATTTTCATGGACAGGATATCAAGGTGTAGCCAAGGTTTGGACAGTATCCAGTTTGAGGATCTGAGGGTTGCGTCTCAGCTGTTTGCAGATGATGTCCTCTTTGCCTCATCTGACTGTGATCTCCAGTCCTCACTAGAGAGCTTCACAGCTGAGTGTGATGTGTAGAAATGAGGGTCATGGTTCTCTCCCTGAAAAGAGTGGCTTGCTGTTGGTTTGGAGATTGCAGTGGAGATTGGTGTGGAGACTGCTGTAATGCTGACATGGTACTGAACAGTGGCGTGAAGGGGGAGCTAAGTTTTCGGACGAAGCTATCAGTTTTCCAGTTGATCTATGTCACTATCCTCAGCTATGGTCATGAGCTTTGGATATTGAGATCATGATTACAAGTGGTGGAAACAAGGTTATACCATAAGGCTTCTGGGTTTACTCTCCTTGAGGAGCTTGGCAATCTGGGAGGATGTTGTGGTAGAGTCTCTGCTCGGCAGACCCAGGACACGCTGGAGGGATTATATCTCTCAACTGGCCTGGGGGTGCCTGAGAACCCCTCAGCAGGAGCTGGAGGCTATTGATGGGGAAAGGAAAGTCTGGTCTACTTCGCAAGCGACCCTCATCAGGAGCAAGCGGCAAGAACAAGAAAAGCATTATCATACCATATTGTTATTGACTTTGCATTATCATAAAATGTTCTTCTATACTAGAAATTTCTCAGATATGCTATGACATTCTGGACAGGCATTTGTATGCTGTTTGTACTGAGCCTTGTCAAGAACATTTTGGTGTTAAGGGACAGTCAGTTTTCCCTGTTTAATTCTAACCCAAAACTTTACCTACCTGCACTGCTGGATGTGAGCTCTTCCACTGAAAAGCAAATAACATGATTAATGTACTTTAAACTGTATTTTACCTGAGGTTTTATATTTCCTCTTTTCATGATGATTAGAGGGTATGTTATGCAGGTAATAACCGATAACATTAGAAGAGAGTGTGTAGTTCATTTGGAATGAGACCTCAGTATCATTAGTGAAACATGAACCATACAGTATGTCACAAGTGGAAACTATGTGGAAGTGCATTTCAATCTGTGAACAGGAGGCCCTGCTTTAAACTGATGGTTATGGGTATATGCAGCAGGGTCTTCAGACATGTTGTTAAAGACACAACCCTGGTTTCTTTAGAGAAATTTTGGATCAGGACTTAAATGGAGCTTCTCGGCCTCAGATCAATTAGCTACTAACTAGCAAATAGGTTAGATGGGCTAAATGGTTTCCTCTCATTTGTACTGTAACCTTTCTTATTTAATTGTTTGCTGAGTGACAGTCACTTTTTCATCTTCGCTTCAAGTCCAAAGTATACCTACCAGAACTGTTGTTTTTTGTGGATGAGATGTCATATTCCACTGAAAAGCAAAGAACATGATTAACACCATCCAGTATACTGACTTCCAGGTTGCACATTTTTAATTTGCTTTGTTTCTGGAGGAACAGGACCAAGATCCTCTACCTGATGGGAGGAAAGAGCAGTCATCACCTGGGAAAGTGGTCTCGTTTGTGGCCTAGTGTTCCATCCTTAGGCCCCTTTTTATGTTTCTTAATGTTTTAATTCCCAATAACTGAAAACCCTGGGGTGTGCAAACCCCGCTAGCCAAACAGTCCTTTACTTCGGCTTATGGCTTATGCCTTACGTCTGGCCTTAGATCTTACCTTATGGCTGTGCTTTGTGTGTCTGTTTTCTCTGAGACCCACCAATTTAAAGGTCTTGTTAAGGCACTTTGCTCCTTGGTAGGCCACACTCTCCCCTCCCATTCCTTCTTTCATTCTTTTGTCTTTCATTCTATATTTTATACTTCTTATTTTGTAGTTCCAATATGTACAAAATCTCATATATTTTGTATTCAGTCCATTTTCAAATTGCTTTATCCAATACAGGGTTACTGGGGAGTCAGAGTCTTTCCCAGCAATCAACCAGTGCAAGCCAGGACACACCCTGGACAGGATGCCATTCCATCACAGGGCACAAGCTCACATCTAGGGCCAATTTTCCCAGAAGCCAACTAACCTGTCTGGGCAAGCAACAGACACAAGGCAGGATACACTCTGGTCAAGATGCCAGTGCAGGACAGGGCACACACACAGACACAAACTTACACATACTGTACTCACTCTGACATCAGAAACCACTTAACCTACCAGTATGTTTTTGGCCTGTAGGTGGAAACCCATGCAAACAAAGTGAGAACATAACCCATGCAGATAGCACTCCAGGAACTCAATCCAGTGCCCCAGCAGTGCTAGGGAGCAATGCTAACTACTAAACCACTGTGCTGCCCTATATACAGTATATGCAATATACATTATCTTATTATACTAATATTATAATTTAATAGTTAAAAAACTATAATATTAATATACTGTTTTACTATTAAAAAAGGAAATGTTACCCGATGACACCAGTAATTAAGAGAAGGCTTTATTTTTCTTTCAGTTTAACTGTTCTTGACTGTGTGGAAACACAAGTACTGCATACCTAGATTCCATAAAGGGACAGCATATGTGATTCACTGTGAAATTGCTGAGAAAGTTGTTAGTTGACTGTATTAATCAGACAGCGTTGTGGTGGCATGGTTGTGAGCTCTGTGGGATCACAGCTTTTGGTCCCTGGCCTTTATTCCAGGCAGGAATGCTTTTTGTGTGGAACATTTATGTTCTCTCCATGTTCGCTTGGACTTTCTCAAGGTGTTCCAGCACACTCTTACCTCCCAACACATGCTGGATAGGCTGGATTGGCTATCTGAAATGTTCTCTTTCTGCATTGGCCCATTTTTCCAGGTGAAGGGCAGTTAGGAGTTCCCAATTCTGCCTTGTGCCCAATATTTCTAAGATAGACTCTGGATTTCTTCAAGTTCCGCCAGGACAAACAGTTTTCTGATAACGAAATGGGTGGATATTACTGAGCAAAAAACACTGCACAGTTCCAAACACAAAATGTGCTTACCAGTTTGACTCCCTGTGGTAGTTGTCTGGCTTGTAGTACTTTTATCTGAAAAGCAGGTTAAAAAAAATCAGTAATTTCATACCATTCTTTATGCTTGTAATTTGTAAGACAAATAGATCTAAACACCATTAAATTAATTTGATTAAGTGATGAGTAAAATGTCTAGGGAAGAAAATATTAACTTGCAAAGTGATCCTTATCTAATATACTTACTAAACATTTACCTGTTCAAAAGATTCTAAGACAATCCCCCCTTTATCCATGTACATGGAAGGCTTATAGACCGGCCATGTCGATTTTTCTGAAATGAGTCTCTAGCACCTTGTGACATGTCCTGTGGGGTGTCACAAACAGGAATGTTTATAGGAAGTTCAAGGTAGTATAGATACATAAAATAGTTGGAAGGTAAGAAAAACAAATGCTTTTTAATTGACAGTGTGAGGAAACCAAAAGTTCAAAACCTAAAGTAAACCCTTCTCTAAATGCAAACTTCCACTCACTCAGTCAGTCAGTCAGCTTCTACTTTCTCTCTTTCCCTCTGATGCCATTTGCTTATGAGCGGATCAACCCCTCTGTTTCAAGATAGCAAATAACGCTCAGTCCTGGAAGTGCTCATCTTCAGGGTTTTTAAACCAATCTTACACCAATTAGTCAGGAGACTGAGGATGGCAGAGGATGACAGATACCTGGGGAAGTTAGTTCAAACAAGAATCTCCATCTTCATGTGTGAACCTATTGTCCCCTCGCAGTCCTATTATGTGGGCATGTGACTATTTCAGCATCGGATAGACACATGGTTTTTAAATGTCCACACTGGAATGATAGCACCCAGATATAAATTGATCAAGGTCTATAATTTCCGTGGTATCAATAACCACACCGAAATCACCAACATTCTGAAGCTGTTGTTTAAAGTCCTTTAACATTACATTAATATTATCACAATTTACCTTGAGAAAATTATGTTGTATCTATAGCTTAATATATAACAAACACATGAAAAGTGCAGAGACCATAGCAGGTGCATCTGGTAAATATGCATGTCACAATGAAGGTGACAAGGAGGCAACATACAGTATGTAAAATATATACACTAAATCATAAAAGCCACAGCACAGAGCTGTAACTAGGACAGCAACAGATTTTAAAAGGCACATAGTTAGGAATCAGCATCTGTACTGTAGGTCAGATTTGAACCTCAGCAAAGAAAACATACTAATCATAATCAGAACTTTCAAGACAACCCAAGAAAATGATGCAACATTTCACAGCAGCAAAAGCTGCATTGATGTCCAGGAGGAGAAGGAGTCAACCATCACCAAGTCATTTACTTAAATAAGGGCAGTCACAGTACTATGTCTAACACCCAAATGGAAAGGTTAAAACACATCATTTGAAGAGAGATAGGGCTGTGAATTGGAGTGCGACCCACACATTCCAATTTTTTTTCTGAAAATCAAGCATAGTGCTGTAACTACATGAGAGTGAGCAATTTTAACACAGGTGGACAACAGCAGACTTCAAGAGGTGAAAAATTGGATTTCAAGGACTCATATTGGCACATGGCAAAGAACAGGGAAACTGTAGATTTAAGAAGGGGTGTGGGAACAGAATCAAAGAAACAGGTATTAAGTGTAAGGTCACAATTTGGAGGCCTCCCTCCAAATATAATATAAAAAGTACTCCATACTGTATATAAAAAGTAGAGTTCATATCAGTGAAAGGAAAGAATCTCCCTTCCATGATGGCAGGAGTGGATTCACTGAGATAACTGCACAAAGTGAGGCTTGTAGTTTATCATTAATGCTATCTATTTTAATAAGTCAATACATGAATGTATTACTCTGACCATGTGGTAATTAATTGTATCATTAGCATATTTGGAAGAGAATCTGTTTTTTATATACAGTATCTACTCGTATTATTGTAGCAGTAAATGATAAATGCTTTGTTTTAATTTAAAACGAACAATAATGGGCTTTTGTGGTGGAAAGGACATCATTGCTTGCTATTCAAATATCACTGAAAATCATGTGTCATATATAAAATGTATACTTTAATCCACACATGTGGAATGACTGCATGATACAGTTGCCATATAGTATTTTAGTAATGGTAACTATAACAACAAACAGGATTCACTACAGAATATTTGTTAGAGTAGAAACAAGGTGATGAAACAACACACGCTTTCATCAGAGAGAACATATGACCCCAGGGACATATTTGCATACAAAAGGATTAGATTTAAAAATACAAATGTAGTGATCCTTTTTGGTTATCTTATTGTCATCTGATCGCAACACCAAAAATAAAACAGTTTCTACAACAAGCACTGACCAGGAAGACGGCAAAGTGAAGAAGTAATGCTAGTTGGCCAGCTATAGGAGGATTAGAAGTTCATATGTGGTGAATTGACAGGAAACCTCTGTGCTTTGCATGTTTAACTGAACAATACTCTCCTTCATGTGCCACACAGCTGTCTTTGATATGAGGCTTGAGCGGAATTATCTTTTTTCATAGGTAAAGCTATGAAAGAAATAAGGCAAAAAAATACTTTGTTTTTGCCGATTAATAAACTCAGACTGCTGTGCTGACATACTGGACAGTCAAAGCAAAACTCTTTTGGGGGGATCTGAACAAAAATCACTTCTATAAAACTTTCAACTTTAAACGGTCAGCCAGAAACAATCCACTGACATTTGCAAAACAAAATGTAAAACACAAACAGATCAAAATGCTGTTCTGAAAATTCTGTGTGCAAGCAATTTTCACCTGTATACAGCATATTATTGCCACCAACCACAATATACAGCATAAAGAGAGGTTTCAAACTCTCTAGAGAAAGTGTCTTTGGACCATTTTGCTCTCTATTTCAACACTAGTGTGATGTCAATTACTCAACTTGCAGTGTGTTGGATGTGTTCATGTGTCAAAGATAAAGGGCAGCTTCACTTCACAACAGTTTCTATTTCTGAACCTTTCCACCCACTGCTATGCATCAAAATGAGTACAAATGTTCTTTATCTATGCCCACACTAAGGTTGGGATGAAAACCCCTAGTCTTGATCTGTATTAAGTAGGAAAACCCCATTTTAGCTTGATATATGGGAGATCAGAGGAAAATCGGTTTTCTTAACTCTGTCTTATAGCAGCTACCAAGCGATTATTCAGAAAAAATGTGCCTACACTTTAGAGCTTACACATCACTTAGCTGACAGCAGAGGTGTGTGCAGTGGCATGAATTGCATGAATCCAGAGGAACATGAGAACAAGCTGTTTTGAACATTTGGCCAGTTGATCCAATTCTTGAATCTGGTCATGCTTATTATTAATTGCTTAAGATCACAGAGAATCAGGGTTTTCTCAACCCATCAGCCTTGCACAATTACAGTACCATGTTCATGTCTCAGATCCAAGACTACTACTCATACCACTATTGGTAATCATAATAGTTTTACCTTGTCTGTTTTTATTGATATTTAGCAAAAGCTACACATTGAAATTTAAAAAAAGTGACAAACTAATAGTGATTCAGATAAAACCAAGAAAATGTAACACTTCACCTTCCAACATTACATTTTCTTTGGCACTCCCTGCACTGAGGACAAAAATATAACAGGACACTAAATTATAAAAATCCAAGTCAAGATGGGAACAACAGACAGTCACCCATACATGCTGTGGCTTGTCTTTAGGAATGAAACACGGGCAGGGAAGGAACAGTTCTGTACAGACAGAAGTACACATTTCCAATCTAGATACACCAAACATGAACAAATTAAGACATCGTGAAATGGCCAGACAGGGAAGATTCAAATGTTTTTTCTTCCGGGAACTGAACTAGTGAACATACTGTAGAAGTGTTCTAGGTGCAAATTTGGTATCTACAACCTTCCACCTACTGAACCTTCCTGGGGGTCTCACTGAGTCCCAGCAACAACTCCTGCAGAATGTTTCAAGTGTTTATATACTGTATTGACCAGAACAAATAATAGGTGATTTATTATTTTAAAATGGACAAATTCTATTGTATCTTGATGTGTTAAAAGTACAGCAAATTGGAACCAATACCCTCTCCACATATTAGCTAAGTAAAATAACTTTAATGTATTTACATTAACATGAAAGTGGAAAAGCTATTTATTTCCTGTCTTAGTACAAACCCCCTGATAGACGAAAGGTCTTTGTACTGGGCTTCAGGCTAGTCCCTCTCTCTGATGGCTGTTCACATCACCCTGGGCCATTTTCTCAAATAATGCAGTCATTCAGTAGGGAACATCTTGTTTGTTTGTGTTTCTTTTATAGCAAAAATAGCAGGTTTTTCAAGCTTTGTGTTGAAAAGAACAGAGAAGGCTAATATTTGTTTCTTTAAATCTCACAGTTCTGCATGGTAATAAAAGTTACCATAAAAGTTGTCTGAAAGTGTATTCTTTTGTGCTTCTTTACATCTTGTTTGAGTAACAGCAAATCACAAATAACAAATCAAAATCCGCAGGCCATTTCCAGTGGACTAGGTTCAGGTCCGAAAACTGTCTCTTTTGCATTTATTCCTTTTTTCTCTGAGATGGCATCATCCAACAAGGATGACAGAGGTTTCTAATGCTACGGACTCCTATTTCAGTTAAAACAGGCTTTTCCTACCTTGTCCAACAGTTGTCCTGTGACTTGTATCTTCACCCTCACTGTTTTCTGGAACTGTAGTGGGACTCGTAGAAGTGGACAGTAAGACTGTGGTGCTGCTTAGGATTGTTTGACTGCTGGTATTGTTAGCAGAAATGTCACCTTCTGTTGCCGTGGCTGGAGTTGTACTATACTTCACCGTGGTTGTATTCTCAGTTGGAGGACTAGTCCTGCTACCGACAGTGGTACCCAAATTGTCAGTGCCTTGAACTACTGTAGCAAAAAGCAAAAGAGTACCTTGGAAATGAAAAGAAAAATAGAATTGTGATGAAAATACACAAGGAAAAAGTTTTAATCACCAGTTTGAAACAAAACTGAAAACATCAAAGAACAGTGACATCGTCCTATAACCTTGTGCAAGATTTGGTTTAAGCTCTTGTTTCTTTTTAGATGTGCTTTTTTCAAAAATCATGTCTTAGCTTTTTATGAGCTGTTGGTTTAACTTATCAAATATTGTACTTTGAACAAGCAAATTGAAACCTATTGAGGAGGTTTTTAAATGAACGCCTGATGCTTATCTTTAATCAGATACCTTTGGATTGGGATTTCTACCCATTGGGTGTTTTTGTTACAATCCTGTGAACAACAGTATGACTAAGAAGGAAGCATGATGAGTCTCCTCTTGTTTATAAGTTTATATTTCCCTTAATTTAATATTTTGGTACACCATAACTCTATTTTAAGCACATACAGTAGATACTTAAAATGACTATAGGAGTATTTAAATGTCATGACTGCATGTCATTCTATAAAACAGTTACCTAATTATACTGCAATATTGGAATAAAGGGGGGATGCTTTCTTTAAAATACTTGTGCCTTTAACATCTGCACAGTTTACAAATGTGTAACATTATTTCTTAAAACGTTTTCATTTCCTTCAAATAGTAAGATTATTACTTCTTTATGTTATCCACAACAATGGTTCAAGTGGCAATAAGTAATGACAGTATTACTTAGAAATAAGCAAAGGGAAATAAAAGAGAGTAAATAAACATTAGCAAAAAGTCAAATTAACTTACCCAGCACAGAGTGGCTAAAGGAAATTACCCACATTTTTTAATGAGTCCTTCTTCCTCAGTCTGATCTGCTAGAGATTAAGGTGTATTCTATGCAAAGACACCAAGTGCTGTGCTTTATTGTGTTGACTTCCGGTGCTGCAGTTATCCAATCACCAGCCTTCAGCATTTTAAAATCTTATTTGAAGTTCTTAAGCTCCAAACCACAGGCAGGATGAAATAGAGAAAACCACCACTAACAGGATGCAACAGTTTGTTTTTTCACAGTTGAAATCTATACAATTAGGCTCTGTTTCTATGTGCATAAATGCCCCACATTTAAGAACCTGTACAAACCTTATAAACTTCCAGGCTTGTTCTTGGTTTTATGTACCTCTTTTAACGTTTAATTTTTCTTCCTCTCACGTCTTATCAATTACACTTTTGAAATGGGATTATCTATACACCGAAATATTTGACAACAATGAGAATATGCGAAACAAAGCTCGCTGTCAGTATCTGTTTTAGACTGTTGTATCCAAATTTGATTATAGTGTATTTTCATCTACATTTTGAAAGAAAAGCAGAATTACAAAAATAGGATTGTGTTCCATTCAGTCTTTCAAACTATGCCAACTTACTTTGAAGAAAAATCAAACAGTGATTTCTAATATACCCCAATTAATAATACCTGGAAGGATAAAGGTTGTCCTGGATATTGTTATTTATTGTTCTATGCCAGTGTGATAGTACTTGAATAATTATAAGTATTAAGTTATTTTTAGATTTTAAGTTTGTGATGAAACTTTAGAAGTAACTTAAATCTTTGACAAATGCTTATTAAGAAAACTCTTATGTTATGTATGGGCTCTCTTGAGTAAGAGCTCAGCTGAAACAAATCCATTGGATACTGGGATTGCAAAGATCAGAATTGTGAAGTTATGCCTGATGTTAATGTTAAAATGAGCTTGTTGCAGTGACCTCAGTGCATGTAAAGAACATGGTCTCCAGACAGAAAAACACCATCACAGACATCTACTGCTAATGTAAGCATCGATTCCAAAACACCTGAACTCTGTTCTCCGTGCACAATATGTCTGATCTTAGCAAAAAAATTTCACATGAGCACAGTTTCACCCTCCCAAACTCAGAGGCAACTTCAATGATTGACTGAACCACAACATCAATACAGGAAATATGTTTAAATTCTGGATTAAAGCTGCCGTATGGCATACGTTTGAGTTCATAAGAGCTACTGTAAGTGTCTGCATCACAAGTCCAGTGACCTGGTGCGGGAGTTTGAATACCCTTGGGAGACCATAACAGACTCGTTTTATACCATGTTTCCCTGTTACACAAGCATTTCACTGCTCATTACACTCACAAAACACCTATGTATCGAATTCTATAGCCATTTCTGCTTAAAAACTGGGACAATCCTTGTTTAAAAATAACAATCAAAACTACTGCTGCTGCTCCTAAAACCAGCCATTACTGAACATATTTTTAACAAACTTTCATTTAAAGAAAGAAATGACCTCTGCAGGAAAACAGAAGGAGTGCAGCTACATATTTGGCATGAAATGGCATTAGATAAGGTACATAAGATAATAACATTTATTGTCTCCTGGGGGAAACTTTTACAGACACACAGCACTTCTCTACATCTAAATACATCACAAAATCATTACACAACACATCTATTGCACATGCATATCTCGTTACAGCAGTGATGACATTTTTGTTAGTTTGTTACAGCATAATTGGTTTCCACTGACACAATTGAACTCGCCCTTGCCATTCATTTGTATTAATTGGTTTAATAGATAAGGGAACAAATTAATATTTGTATCTATTTGAACTATATTTTGGCAACCCCAAAATGTCTGCCAGGGGGAAGAAGTTGAAGTTCAATATTCAGAATATGAAAAGGATCTGAAGGTGAGCATGTCCAGTCTCTTTACCCAGCAGGAAGGTTTCCGAGTCTTTAAGTTACCATCTGCATTTAACCTGAAAATGCCGCTGAAATGGTTTAATTTTTGCAACCCATTAGTTGAATTATTGAAGAGCTCCATAGCTGTCCACCACAGCAGTAGATCTCTACTTGCTAGCTTGTTTTTCTCACTGTTGTGTAGGTACAAGCCATAAAGCTGCTGACACGAACTGAGGCGGTTCATTTTCCTACAGATCTACATACCCGGACTTTCTTCGGGCCATCACGTAATATCTGGACTCCTCATGTGTGTATTCAGTGCCCAAGAACACTGCGCGGTAACTGCACAAATGCAACATTCAAACATAACGGTCACTAACAAAGAATACCAATGTAAATATTTTGCACCCGTTTGTAAGTTTGATTGGTGAGAGCCAGTCTACCCACAATGGTCCTGGAAACAGAGACAGCACACACAGTCAACATTTCCTTTGGAATATGGAAATCGAGACACCTTATTTGCCAATACAGTAAGTGCCAAAAAGTAGGCTAAGTGGCTCATAGAAACAACATACCATCACCTCCAGAAGCATTCTGGACTTTAGATAGATAAGATAAGACTTTATTGATCCGTAGGGAAATTGATGTGTTTCATAACTGAATTTCTCAAGTTATGAAGTCTTGCGACTAGTTGAAATAAAATTACTGTCCTATCAATAAAACCTATACTTCATTAAGAACAATAAAGACACTGAAATGATAGGAGGCCATTCTTCACATCTAGCCTGTTTGGTAGTAAGTACAGTATAATAGTTACAGTTATTACAGTAATTAAATGCAGAAAAGAAACAAAACTTGTCAGGAATATTAAATTGTTTTCTTTAAAATTATTAAATTAAACTGAAATTATTCCGTTTAAAATCTCAATATTACTAAATCAATTAAACTTTTCTGTTTTAAGTATAAGTCTAAGTGAAGATTCTGTATGTCACAAAATGATCTACAGTCATGAGAGAGATACATAATACAGTCCATTTTTCCACTAATAACCAGTTGACCATGTTTGACACTGAGAACCCTGTGAAATAGACTGTCACATTATAAATGTGATGCAAAATCAGAATTAATTGCTGCATGAATGAATTAATATCAGGGTTGGTTTAATTAAACAAACCTCAATTTGGACTCTAAGGCTGATTGATGTCTTACTATAAGTAGTAGATCATGAATAAAAATGTGTCACTAGGTGTCACCACAGACAAAGAAAACCAGCCTTATCCTGTGAATATTATGCACTGGCAGCCTGCACTGGAAATGAATAGCATGGGAAAAGACAGATGAACTTGAGAGAAACTAAGCACTTGCTCTAATTTACGTTTTATTCTTTAAACAGAAAAAAAAGATATTGTGCTTCCTGATAAAAATTGGCTGTCAGAACACATTTTATAATTCTACAAACCTTTGTGGCTGTGAACGTAGCAAAGCTCTTTTGAAAATATTTCAAAGCAACCCGCAGTTAACTGTATTTTAGCAAAAAAGGGAAATACTCTAAAAGATTAATTTAACGCTTTCTTTTATCACTTGGGAAGAGAACAATGAAATACACCATTTTTAGTAATTCAACCAAATAGTCCATCTCTTTTTAAATATATTTTGTTTAAAGGTGTATAAGAAAGGAAGAAAAACATTACAACATGTGTCAGAATGAATAGTGGGCCTTCCTACACATTATTGGGGTTCATATAGAACGCTGGGCTCCCTGTCTTCTGAGACCTTGCATGGTAACAGAAGAAAAGATGACCTTTGTATGTTTTAACCCAACATTGCGAGAAAAGAGAAAACCTGCCTTCATCACAGCCATTCTAAAATGATGGTAAAGACGTACATTTTAGAAAAGTAAAAGCTAAGTGTGGTAATGTGGCATAGTGTTACTACCATTGAAATGATGAAAACTAAATATCAAGGGTAGCAAGTTGTTCTATCTAGAAAAAACTTTTTTTAACTGCAAAAAAGATGGATCGCTGAGGTTACCGTGAAAGTTTGGGGCAACTTCATTTATTGCTGTTTTCGGCTCGCCAGAAGCAATAAGCAACAGGATTAGTGTGAGCTACCAGTGCGTCTCCACTTCACAGGACTCTCTCGGGCTATGAAGCAGTTTTCTCTGCCTATTCAGTAGGTGTTAATCCAGGTTTGAATAGTCAAAACCAGGTTCTATGCCACTTATCGTCACATCGGAGCTGGACAGCCAGTGCTCTCAGAAAGTGGATGAGCTAATCACACTCTTGGAAGTGTGGGGGGGCAGGGACCACCCACCCTGTGGATTCCGATGTGAAATTCAGTCTCTCTATGACCCGCTGTACTTCCCTGCTTTATAAAGCCCCTTCAATTGTTCCAGCAGGCATACAGTATGGGGACAAGCAGCAAACAAGGTTCAATGACAGCAGCAGCACAAAACTCTTGGAATAAATTTCAGCTTCCTATTAAGTTTAAGCACTTTTAAAATGCCCTACAATTAGTGCCGAGTGAAGCTTTTTTTTAAAGACTTGCGGATTGTTGTTCTTCACTCTGACCAATTTCCCAATAATAACCTTTGCGTCTATGAATAGATAATTGACAGTTTTGAGTATGTTTTTTTAGGTGTCCCATGAGCATCAGGATCTAGGTTTTTCATATTTCAGTAAAAAATGGTCATACTCAGTGTATTTGTTTCCCAGGTTTACTTTTTTACTATGTTACCTTCTCTAAATCCATAATTGTCTCTACTCTTTAGAAACTAAAGGGGGTACGTTGAATGTGTAAAAAATCTTGCATGGAATTTTCTTAGCATTCTTAGCATTTAAGACTGAATGTTTAGCAAATGACACAAGACTATTTAGATCAAATCTCTATTTATGATACCTGTCAATTATGATCTGTCATAGGTAAAACATTCACCACACAAATAAGAAATATAACAAACAAGTCATAGCATACTTGCAAACGGAATTTGAAACAGTTTTCATTCTCTTATTCTAAAGTCATACTGATAAAATTTGATGTGTGAATTTGATGTCAATGTTTCTGTTTTATGTATACAGTAAGTAAACCCTACTACTTAGTAATTAAAGGTAACATACTTTTTGAAACAGTTGATTAAGAATTAGATCAAGAGTAACTGTGATGTCCTGGTTCT